ATATCAGACTAATACTTAAAATGTATCTTAACATCAGACTAATATTTAAAATGTATCTTAACATCAGACTAATACTTAAAACATATCTTATTATCAGACTAATACTTAAAATGTATTTTAACATCAGACTAATACTTAAAACATATCTTAATATCAAACTAATACTTAAAACATATCTTGACATCAGACTAATACTTAAAATGTATTTTAACATCAGACTAATACTTAAAACATATCTTAATATCAGACTAATACTTAAAATGTATTTTAACATCAGACTAATACTTAAAACATATCTTAATATCAGACTAATACTTAAAATGTATTTTAACATCAGACTAATACTTAAAACATATCTTAATATCAAACTAATACTTAAAATGTATTTTAACATCAGACTAATACTTAAAACATACTTACAGTCAGAGGAAGAGCGAAGTAAGTATCCACCGCCACAAGGAGCACAAAGATAGCAGTAATGAAGTAGTAAATGGCAGCAGTTCGTAGATTTGGAGAGGCTGATAACAGATGTACAAACTCAATACATATACATCAGAAAATACTGTTTATTCTGAACATTTGGTTACTTTATTGAAGTAATGAAATAGTTTTCAAATTATGAACCATTACACAGTAAAAATATTTGTTCACTCTTTAAAAATAACATATATTAAGATCAGGAGTGAAACTAAAACTGAATATACTCCATTTTCAATATCCAATTTATTTAATATTCCTCATACACACAATGAGAGATAGTAACAGGAAATTATGGTACAAACCTGCAATAGACAATATACTGATCAGGGATGCAATGGTTCCACTGACATTCTGAGAATAAAAAAACAATCATGAGTACTGTCTACAGGGATTAAGTTAATGCACTCCAAAATCCTAAAGACTAGCCGAGCTTCATGCTGGAAGCTTCATAAAAGATGTCTTGTAAGAGTAAAAGTTTAAATATATATACATAGTGAATTTTGCTTACAGGTCAGGTTACCAAACAAAAAAATTGTAAGTTATTTCATAAACTCATGTTTGAAATACCAGGTTTAGTTTTCATGCATTCAAGAAATGTAAACATATTAGTAGTACAAGTAATATTTAATGCATCTTTTTGCTTTTTAAGATCTTACACAGGATCCAAATGAAAAACATCCAACACAATATAGAAAACAATAAATTCCGCAAGTAATGTTCTAATTTCACGGATTCTCTTCCTTAATGATACCATAAAATTATTTATGGTTCTCGAAATATAACCTATAAAATAATAAAAACTTCTAATAAACTAAAAAAAGGTGAACAGTATTGTTTAAGGAAAGTTTAAATGGTAGAGCATCAACTGAATAACCAAAAGGTTCTGAGTTTAAGCCCTGTTCTTACAAGTTAAAACTCTCACAGAAAGTATGTAACTATTTTTAATTGTAATCATGAAAACATTAATGAAAATACGTCTTAGCAAGCTCCCCATGATGGATCCCCTACAAGGTAAAAACTCAACAATATCTACAAAACCACAGACCTGAAGATCCACAAAAATGTATTGAAATATTTTTTACAACAAAGAAACTTTCCAGAAATTCATTTTAACAAATTATTCACCTGTGAAACATGACTTTCAAATTTAATCTCAGTAGAAATGAGAAGTTTTTCCAGGTTTTGATATCATTGTACAACTTTGCTTAATAATGATAATTTTACTACGCTTTTAGTACTTGCTTACCGAACCCAAAACTACAGCATTTAAATACTTCATCGGCAACTTAGCAGCTACACCATAAACACAGTTCTGGTAAACTCCATTAGCCACTGAAAAAGAAGAAGATTATTTTTCAGCCAAACACAGCTACAATTATTGTTCTCTTCATATATTAAAAATATAAACAAATACAATCACAATAATTTTTTAATCCAAAAAATATTGTTCGTGATATGTTTATTATACTTATTTTCTTACAAAGAAATTCTTGAAACTGCAAAGAAGAATTTATGTTAAACTATACAAAACCCAGTTTAAAATTAATGATCTAGCATTAATCCACCTCTTGAAGACCAGGTGTAAACCTTAACAATAACAAACCTTTTGAATACCAGATGCAACAATGAACAATATCAACATCTCGAAGACCAGGTGTAACATTTAACAATGACAAACCTCTTAAAGACCAGATGTAACATTTAATACAAACATTTTGCAACACTATCCAGTTTTAAAATTTTTCAATATTTTCTAAGTTAGAAAACTTGGAACTGATCGAACAGTAAGTCCTAAAATATATACAACTTTAACAGGAATACTCTATTTACAAAAGTAACTTAGGAAGTAGAACACAATTTTGGGTTTTAATTGAAATATTCCATCTACAAAAGCATTTTAAGACCAGAAGTCTTAGCTTTGGGTTAAGTAAATGATTTCACTTACAGGAAGTATCTTATGAAAAGAAGCCTTTCATCAATTTACCATTAATCTTAGTTTACAAACTGATTCAAGTATTTTGTTCAATGGCAGTAAATGAAAGAATGCAAGTTTTTTAAATATAACTTTCACCTTAAAAGAAAGTGGATTTATAAATAAACTAAGATATCTCAAATAAATACTAAACTTTAATTATTTCACTGACAAAACTTAGTTTGCTCTGATACTTACTATTTAAAATCACTACAGATATCATGGTGATGTAGAAAAATGCTTCTGGCCCTAAACATGACAAAAAATGTAGTAATTATAAAAATATATTAAAATCAATCAGTATTTTCTAGTCTATTTTAAAAATAAAAAGTAAGCATACTTTTAATAAAGTGAATCTTACAGTAAAATATAAATCATAGGTTTAAAGAATGTAATAGGTTATCAAGTGACTGTATAACACTGATTTTTCCTTCATTATTTATTAGTGGATGAAACTTGATGAAAAGTTATTATTTTTCTTCCACTTTTTATAGGTTATATTTAAAATGATCTGAACAAATTTACTCGAACTAGTTCCATCCCCAAACATCTCAGACATCTTCTTCTTAAGAACTACTTGCAACTTTTCATAACAGAAACTTTGAGAACTAAGGTATAATAATCACACAATTAATAGCTTAATACAAAGTTAATTGACTATAAAATGAATGCTTAGTTTAATTAAAGCACCTTATATTGTGAGCTGAAGTAAATGAGCCAATTAAACCTGTATAATTTTATAACAGTCATACTATGTGAAAGTTTCAGACAAATAAGAGAATATTATCATTATTATTGATGAAAGATTATTCCTTAAGTATGAATGATCCAGATACGTTTACACTAAGATATAATAATAAGCTAAACACAAAAGTTGATGCTTCAAAAGATCTGACTTATGAAACATACATAAAGAGTCATTCAACAAGAATGACGCATACAAGCAAACCTGTAGCCAGGTCTGGAAGTAGGGGGTTCTTTTTGATCCAAAGTGGAACTCGTTTTCTGTATGACTTTAGTGCCAAGGGACAAACAAATGTTTTCCAAAATATGTAATGATTCCTTTACCACTGCAAATAAACATTTCTAGTAAATTTCCTCAGATAAGTATGAAAATGTTATTTCCGCATGTATGCACAGTGTTACAAAAGCAATTATATAATGAGAAGCCATCATCAAAGAAAGGGAAAAAATATTTAATAGGTGAGTGGAACTCCCGCACGAGTGTGTATGTAGGCCATTCGTTCACACACCAGAACCCCCCTGGCTATGGGCTTGATACAAGCCTACTGAAGCAACTGACCCATTGTCTAAAACTTGATGCTACCCCTGGCTATGGGCTTGATACAAGCCTACTGAAGTAAGTGACCCATTATCCAAAATTTGATGCTACCGCTAGCTATGGGCTTCATACAAACCTACTGAAGCAACTGACCCATTGTCTAAAACTTG